CTACTACTACTACTACTGCTAACGTTATTATGGCTAGTCTGAGCATTAGTATCATAATATGTAATGTGGTTGTTTTTTGTCAGAACGTCATCGCTCGTACCTCGCTCCTTCCGTCAACCTGGGCCGGCACGGGAATCGAAACAACGCTATAACAAGCTTTCCTGAGATGGCTCATGGCACGGCTCACTCTTGGGAGCCTCGATGTGCAGAGCTGGTCACAGCACTGTGACCTCTTGGGGGCCTTAGTGATAAAGCTGTCCATGTCATCGTTCGTACTGGGAGCCTTAGCGTTCAAAACTTCTGACGTCATCGGGAGCTCTTAGGAGCCTTGGCGTTCAAAACTTTCTTCTACGCCATCGACTCGCCCAAACATATGTGTTCCCGCCAACTGGAGTTCTTTGGCGCCTTGGCGTCAAACATGTGTCCGTCACCGGGCCGTCGGGAGGCGGGAGCCTTGGAGTCAAAGCTGCGTTCGGCACTGTGCCGTCTTGGGGCCAGGGGGCTCACGACACCGATCGTAACGAGTAGCGCCTTGGGGTTAAGAACGCATTACGAGATCTGCCGACCCCCGTATGCTAGGGGTGAGAAGGCGTGTGAGACGATTGGCTGTCCCCTTACAGCTTCCCACTCCCCCAAAATCCCACATCCAACTTGGGGGGGTATATCTGGGCTCGCTGGCGCACTCCCGGAGGCTCCAGAGCGTCCGAATCTCCTGTCCGCAGCCGTAGCCTGAGAGACGTGCCAAGACGGTCCCGAATCACCTAACGACTGGCCCAAGATGCCCACGATGGCTCCAGGCGGCCCCAAGACGTCTTCAAGACGCCCCAATGAAGGCCCAAGAGCTTTCCTAAGAGGGCCCCGAGAGGCAGAAAACATGAGTTTTCCGGAGGTGTCTTGAAATTCTGTCTGGGGTTCTCGTCTTCTCGAGTTTCCGACGCTCCGAGGCGGACGAAGAGGCCGTGGAGATCGGCCCAAAATTGCCCAAGAGACCCCTACGAGCCCTGGGACGGCCCAAGAGGGTTCCAAGACGGCCCAAAGAGGGGCCCAAGACGGCCAAATATCGCCCCAAGAGGGCCCCGAAAGAGGCCAAGAGGGAGAACACGAACCGACAATTCGATCTTTCCGCTCCGAGAAGCCCCCCAGAAGCCCCTAGAAGTTTCCGAGCGGTCCAAAAGAGCTCGAGAGGCCCCCAAGAGGCCCCCAAATGGCCCCCAAGACGCTTCAAACTGCCTCCAAGAATTTCAGCCACGCCCCCAAATAGTTTCCAAAACGCCCGCAACGAGTCCCCAAATAGTGCCCAAAAAGCCCACGATCCCTCAAGCGTGGACTCCCCACTTCTTCTGGGGGTCGGCAGAATGGCGCAACCCTGTTGAATAACCCAAAAACCAACAGTGCTTTAGTCCCCCATCCTCAATCCCCCCCCCCTGGAAGCCTCCGCCATTCCGCCTCCCGGTTGCGCCCAAGCCTTTTTTCCGTTTCCCCGTCCCCAAGACGCCTCCAAGACGGCTTCAAAGCCGAGCTCGATTTTCAGATCCTTCTGACGATGCATCTGGGCCTTATTTTGGCTTCATTTCGGCCCCGTCGGGGCTCCTCCTTGGCTTCCAAATCCGCTCCCGGGGCCCTCGAGAGCGCCTTTGTGGCCCGTTCTCGCCGAAAAGCTGGCATGTCAGAAAATATATCGCAAATGCGATTGTTTCTTTCACGATTTCCGCTTCTCCGAGGGTGACCCGGACGCCTCTTACGACTGCCTTTCGGGCTCGTCTGGGGCATCTTCCATCTGTCATCAAATTTGGACGCCGTTTTTGGGCGCGTTCCGGGGTCCATTCTGGAAGATTCGGGGCCCCACGTGGGCTCCAAAACGGACCCAAAACAATCTAGAACCGGCCCGGTTTTTACCGGAAGACGGACGGGGTGGCCCAGGAGGCCGCCAGAGGGCCCCAAGACGACCCAAGTCCCAAGACGGCCCAAGAGGGCCAGAAGACGGCCCAAGAGGGCTCCAGGATTGCCCCAAGACGGCCCAATAGGCCGCCAAAAAGACCCCAATATTGCCCAAGAGGGCCCCAAGGCGGCCAAGAGGCCTCCAGGACGGCCAAAGAGGGACCAACAGGAGGAGCCCGAACAAACTGTTCGAGCCCTCCGTCCCAGAAGGCCCCACAGGAGGCCCCAAGAGCCCCAACAAACCCCAAGAGGCCCCCAAGAAGCCAGAAGACGCCCCCGACAGACCCAGAAGCCCCAACACGATCCCCAAGAGGCCCCGAGAGACTTCACTGGTGCCCGAATGGTACCACTTGCTATGGTCTACCTGTGGCGTCGTCCACGACATCGTCGTCGTCATCGTCCTCGTCGTCGTCGTCGTCGTCGCCGTCATCGTCGTCGTTCCCTGCGTCATATTTGTCGTTTTTGGACTCGATCCAAGATCAATGTTGGACGCTCCTGGGTTTCACCTGGGCCCCGAAACAAAACCCAAACCGGCCCCGAACCAGCCCGATGTTCAATGGCGTTCCGACGGAGTTACGGCCCAACACGGACGTGCTGTCGCTTCGGCCGTTTAACGCCCGCCTGAGCCGCATTTGGCTCCGTGTAAGCAGCGTTCGGACCGTGTTTGGTGTTGTGGATGCCATGACAATGAACACTCGAACAATCTTATCATTGCATTAAAGATGTCTTTAAAATCCTTGAAGCATGTTCTAAACATGTGTCAAACCTGTTCTTTACATCTTCAACACATATTTGAAACATCTTTGAGCCATCTGGAAATTATTTGGCAGCATGCTTCCTCTCCAGTAATCGACTTCCACAAGTGTGGTTGATCTTTGGCAGTGTTCGGGCTATTTCTGGCCTCCTGGTGTGCATCGTAAACAAGGGCCCAGAGAACCAACGCCCATATCACTGATGCGTCGGAACCGATGACGGGGCGACGACCAAACGGCAAGTCTACGATCGATCAGCCACGCGGCATGCCTGAGCCTAACAGGCTATGGGATGGGAACAACAATGGAGCGCAAGCAAAAACACCAACACACGCCTGCGGGTAGTCTTGTATGATTTTCTACACCTGTTCATCCCGTAGTGGAGCCGCCTTCTAACACGGGAATCTATATACATATATATATACAAACACGTGTGAAGATACACATGTATACATAAACACACATATGTATGTATGTCTGTCTGTCTGTGTGTCTGTATGTCTGCATGTCTGTATGTCTGTATGTCTGTATGTCTGTATGTATGTATGTCTGTATGTCTGTATGCTTGTATGTCTGTATGTCTGTATGTCTGTATGTCTGTAGGCATGCATGCATGTATGCATGCATGCATGTATGTATGTATGTTTGTCTGTCTGTCTGTCTGTCTGTGTATGTATGTATGTATGTATGCATGTATGTATGTATCTATGTATGTACAATGTATACACATCTCTCTCTCGATGTATATATATATATATTCTCATACGCACCTCTCCGAGGGAGTAGAGCTCAGAGGCGATTAATGCGCACGCGTCCGCGATTTTTCTGGGCGTTTCGCTCGGGACATCCTCGAAATTCTGAAAATCGGTGGCACCCCTCACGCAGATCGCGACGTCAGGGTCCAAAAGCACATGGGAAATTCAACATTTTAACATAAAACCTTCAAACACACATGGTAATTTCAATAATTGTGACCCCGATTCTCAGTGAATGGCGGTTTCGCTTGAAAAATCCTTCCAAAATCGAGCCCCAGACCCCGCCTCGGAGCCTCCTGGGGGCCTCCTGGAACCTCCTGGGGCCTCCTGGGCCTTCTGAACCTTCTGGCACCCCAGACCCCGCCTCGGAGCCTCCTGGGGGTGTCCTGAAACCTCCTGGGGCCTCCTGGGGCCTCCTGCGGCCTCCTGGAGCCTCTTGGGGCCTCCTGAAGCCTCCTGGGGTCTCCTGGGGCCTCCTGAGGCCGCCTGGGGCCTCCTGGGGCCTCCTGGGGCTTCAGAACTACATGCACACAGAGACACAAATCACGCCCAACACATCACACGCTAGACAAACATAACACACACACACAACACCTACAACACACAAAAAGCACGCACCACACGAAGCATACATCACACACACACACACACACACACGCACAACACTCACAATCCTGGGGCCTCCTGGAGCCTCTTCTGGTATCCAAGTCGGGCCTCCTAAGGCTTCCTGGGGGCCCTGGTACACACATCGCAAGGTGTGGCAACCCCACTTGCGCTCGAGTGCGACTTCGATGTTGCATTTCACTCCTGCTTCCAACGCCCCTGCAGTTTTTTGTATGAGCCTGGGCACACACGTGCCACTTGTGTGTGTATATATATATATATATATATATATATATATATATATATATATAGGTTTTGGGCCTCTCCAAGCCTTCTTGGGGGTCCTCACGGGGCCCTTTGGGGTTGCCTTGGGGCCGTCTTGGGCCGTCCTGGGGCCCTTCTGGGACGTCTTGGATGGCTTTGGCAGTTTTGGGGCTCTCTTGGGGACCCCTTGGGGGCCGCAAGATGGCCCCACGATGGGCCTCCACGTTGTCCTGGGTACGTGGTTGCCTGTCGTCGCCTGCCTGGCCGCGTGCTGCGACACATCCCTGGTCATTGTCTGTTGTTGAAGCGAAGCGCCAACAATTGCGACGCGCACGTGCGCGATAGAATATCGACTCCGCTTTCCCAGGGGGAGAGAAAAAGAGGGTGAGGCGGTGGAAGAAAGAGGAGAACAGGGTAGGCAAGGAAGCTAAGGAGGAGAAGGAGGAATCGGGAGGGGGGCGGGGAAAGCACAAAGCGAAATGGACACAGGAAGTGCTGGAGGAAGGTACGGAGGGAGAAAGCAGGAGGGGGGAGAACGAGAAGGGGGTAATGGAACAGCTGGGAGTGGAAGGGGGGAAAGAGAACACCTCGACAAAACCACTCCCCAAAGCACTGGTGCGACTCCTGGAAACAAAGTTCCTCCATGGCGAAGCGTTTCGAAGGCGCGCGCATAGGCGGGGGGGGGCTCCGCGTTGGCACCTTCGATGAGGGGCTCTGCCAGAGCGATCATCTCCTCGCTGCGTCGGTGGCTTCGCCGCACTGGTGAACCAAGAGGAGAAAGGCACCGCATGGATGCGGCAACAAGGGAAGAAACGAGAAAAGCAGGAGGAGAAGGAGAAGGAGGGTCAGTGGATACGCTATCCTGGCGTGGCCAAGGAGGCATGAGCGCCGATCCTGGGTCCGAGGCGGACCTGGCCCATGGCCAGGACCAAGAAATGTGCACAGCCATCCTCGCCCTGCGGCCAGCCGCAGCTCGCGCGCGAGCCAACGCCTCCTCTTCCTCCTCCTCCTCCTCCTCCTCCTCCTCCTCCTCCTCCTCCTCCTCCCCCTCCTCCGCGCAAGTCTCTCCTTAAACGTTGCACTCCCGCTCCGGCGCGGCGGGTGTCTTGCCTTCGTCGCCGCATGGGCTGGACGCGGGACTGCGCCTGGGCGGAAATGCCCCGTTCCTGGGGACAACCATAGAGGTACCGATACCGCCACTCCCCAGACCTCTCTGATCAGGATTTCGGATGTCGAGGCGGATCCAGCGGTGGCGACGAGGGCCGTCCAGAAGGCCCAGACAGGGGAAAACGAGGGAAGGGTAGCGGGCATGGGCTACCTTTTCCTCCTCTGAGCTTCCTCCTCCCGTCATGGCGGCGCAGCAGCTGGCTCCAGGACGCGCCACGCTCCCGCGAGGCCGGGTCCGGCGCCCGCGTTGCCCGTCGCCGGGCCGCGGAGAAGTGGAAGGCACCGCGCGCGAGCGGGCGCTCTCCGTGCGCCGCCTGGGGAGCAGACGCTGTGACCAGGGGCTGGCCGTCCCGCGGCATCCCTACCCTGCAAGACGCATCTAAAAATAGTAGATGCGTTTAGATGCGATCGCGCTTTGGCGCAGGCGAGAAGCCCATCGTATCATTTTTCTGCAAACAGCGACAATCTATATCTAGTTATACATATATGTATATATACATATACATATATATACATATTTATACATACTATGTTTAGATGCGCGCCCCCGGCCTGCGCGGGAGCGCCGCCGTCTCTGAACGTATCGATGTTTCAAGCATATCTAAAAAATTGGGACCGAATGGCAGTGCCGCGCCGTAACTATTCGTATCTAATTTTTGTCAGAACGGATGCAGTTGGCTGTGCTCCCGGCAAAGATCCATGATATTGGCCGAAGCAATGAACAACGGGATGAGGATCGTGGGATGCCGTAGCGATGAGGAGTGAGGAGACGAGCGACGACGACAAAAACGACGAGGAACAGGATGGGTTAAAACGACGAAACAAAAATTAGGAGAGAACTGGGTAGGAACAGGGAACCGTAGGATGGGGAGAGCAAAGAGGAGGACGAGGAGGAGCAGGAGGAGGAGGAGAAGGAGGGCGAGGAGGAGAAGGAGTCGAGGAGGAGGAGGAGAAGGAGGAGGACGAGGAGGAGAAGGAGTCGAGGAGGAGAAGGAGTCGAGGAGGAGGAGGAGTCGAGGAGGAGGAGGAGAGGTACGGTATAGTAGGTTTGGTAGGTATGGCATAGTATGGCATGATATGGTAAGCATGGTCTGGTATAGTAGGTTTGGTATGGTATGGTGGGTATGGTATGGTAGGTGTGGCGTAGTAGGTATGGTATGGTAGGTAGGCGTGGTATTGGTATGGTACGCATTGGTATGGTATAGTAGGGGGGGGCGGGAGAAGGATAAGGAGGAGAAGGAACTGGAGAGGGTGTTCTAGGAAAACAGGAACCCCACTCAGGTTGCGGGGAACAAGAACCTCACTCAGGGTGTGGCGAAAGAAGAGAAGAGAAGATGAGCACCGAGGAGGGCGGATGAGGAGGATCCAGGAGGAGCGGGGAGCGATAATGATCGGTCGTGGGCGTGCGCAGGAGACATGGCACCGTATCTACTCGTATCTGTTTTTGGTAGACATGATTTCCTGCGATGGGCGCCATATTGAACCGTATCTAAACATATCTAAACATGTCTATTCGTATCTAAAAATGGCCCCGTATCTGACATTTGGAAGAAAGCATACCTCTGGTATTAAAAAGAGTAAGAGATCGTATCTAAACGTATCTACTTTGTGAAATATATATATCTAGTCGTATCTAATATTCTGTACGATAGCGCTGTAAAACACAGATGATTATGGGAGGGATTTTAGATACCATGCGGTCCTTCCGAATACAGCTGCCGCTGGGGAAATGAACAACCAACATCGATTTTTAGATGCGTCTTCCAGGATAGATGCCTACCGCGGCACGTTCTCAGGGCCCCACAATGTTCGAAGCACAGAAATACACTCAAGGGCTCCCAACTTCGCGCTTCGCGCTGCGCGAAGCGCGAAGTGCGAATAACTTCGCGCTCTCGCGCCGCCTCCCAGGGGAGAAGAGGAGGATGAGGAGGAATCGGAGCCGAACCGCGAAGCGCGAATAACATCGCGCCCTCGAGGGCGCCCTTGTACACTGCTCTAAGAACATGACCCCGGGGTGCGTTGAATTAAGGCAGACTTCTCCGCCAGAAATGTTCTGAGAACACAACACGGACTCAGCCAGACACGTCGAACACGTCGTGCAAACCACCCGAGGCTCTCAGAACATCCCACGGTGGGCCTGCAGGCAAGCCGGGACGCGTCGCCGCTGCTCAGAAAGCGCCAGTCCAGACACGCATGTGTGAAGACGTTGGCTGCTATGGCGTGAACGGGTTGCCTGCAGTGGGCGGGGCCCGCTGGCCTGCTTGAGCTGTGACTCCTCCTCCTCCTCCTCCTCCTCCTCCTCCTCCTCCTCCTCCTCCTCCTCCTCCCCCTCTTCCTCCTCCTATTCCTCCTCCTCCTCCTGCTCCTGCTGCTCCTCCTGCTCCTCCTCCTCCTCCTCGTCCTCCTCCTCTTCCTCTCCTCAAGAGGCCCAAGGACACAAATTCCCGGATTCCTTACATGTTCTAATATTTTCTGGGTTTTCGTCTTCCCCCCCCCACCCCACTTTCCATATTTTCCTGGGATCCGGCGATTCATTGTGTCTGTGTGTTTCTATCCCTCCCGACTAATCCTTGTTACTCACGTATTCGCACATGCTCCCACTCTGCCGCCAAGCCGGCCAATGGGCGGTCAATTCAGGCAACTGCACCCTGCCGATCAGAAGCTGATATTGGCGGCGAGCCCAAGATAGGGAAACGAACCCTATACACCGACGCTTTTTGCGACCCTGCGCTGAAATTCGAATAGGAACGCGGATCATGGTGTATACGGGGTCCTGGTGTATACATTGTTCGACGTTTCCCTTGGAGAACGGGGGAAAGGCATACACCACACCACCCCGACGTCGTCCCCGACCCTCGAAAAGTCGTGGGATTGAAAACACAGCCCGCCACTGGTAATCAAGGGATGGAAAAACGACCCTACCCTGAGTTACAAGTGGGTCTGTAAACCTCGTGGGAACCCCCGAAACCTAGAGAGCCGCCAGGACGCCGCACATCACGCAGGCTTTACCCTGTCAGCCCACAGGAGGTTCAGCGCACAGCGCCTCGTACTCTGTGTCCCTCAATAGTTCTGGGGGTACCTGTAGTCCGGGGGGGGGGTACCTATAGTCCGGGGGGGGGGGTAGTCCGGGGGGGTATACCTGTAGTCCGGGGGGGGGGTACCTGTAGTCTGGGGGGGGGGGGGGTACCGGGGGGGGGGTACCTGTGTCCTCCGGGGGGGGGGTACCTGTAGTCCGGGGGGGGGGGGGGGTACCTGTAGTCCCGGGGGTACCTGTAGTCCGGGGCCCCAAAACTATGGAGGGACACAGAGTAAACCAGGGCAGGGGCGTTTTGCACGCCCTTGCGGTAACGTGCACGCCCCCGAGAGGGACGGCACAGCGGGCGGGCTGCTCAGAAGGCCCAGGAGGCCTCCGGCCTTCCGGGGAGCTTCCTGGGCCCCCTCCGGGGGCGCAGGCGCCTCCTCCGAGGGCGCGAGGGCCTCCTACCAAGAGGCCGGCCCCTTCTCGCCTACCGGGAAGCCGGACACACATGTGGAGCCTCTCGAGCAGGGCGGAACCTAAACGGTGATCATCGTTTTCGCTTTGGTGTCGTTTCCCCTCGTGTTGCCTCCAGTCCGCCTTTGACCGCAAAACGAAATCGACACGAAAACGGCCCACGAAACCGCCAAAACACCGCTCTCGAGTCCACCCCTGCTCTTGAGCCCGTGCGCTGGATACACATGTGGGGGGGTGGGGGGGGCAGCGTGCCTTGAGCAGGGACCGGCCGTCCCGGCATTCCTGAAAGGCCTACCACAAGATGTTTTTAGAACCCCCAAGAAGTTTTAATCACCCAGACCGTGTTCTCAGAACGTAACCCCGATGCGTTAAGACAAGACAGTCTCAGCCAGAACTGCTCTGAGAACATGTCGTGCAGACCGCAAACAGGTTCTTCACTGCTTGAGGAGGAGGAGGAAGAGGAGGAGGAGGAGGAGGAGGAGGAGGAGGAGGAGGAGGCGATCCAAGACGCCTCGCCACTGCTGGAGTTCCTGGCCACACACGGGCCGAGCGCTGGAAAGACCCCTGGCCCTATGTTTCGGTCGGGCATGTCCCCCTACGGGCGGATTTTGGATGATAAAGAAAAAGTGATCAAAACATGCCCCAGAAGGATCAAAAATAGTCTAAAATATCGTCCCCAGACTATTCTCTGGCTATTTTTAGGTATTCTTCCTGTCGAGGGACGGGCCCGACTTAGCCCTATGTGCATCCAGCTCTCGCCCTGGCTGGCCGCGTCATGCTCGGTGCCTCCGCAAGGTGCTGCTGGCTGCAGAGGGTGTGGCCTGCAACGGGCACGCCCTGGGGGGCACCCTGAGGGGCGGGCGGGGACCTCCATACTCGAAGTCCCTTAATAATCGTCCCTCAGCTCCGCGCGCCAGGGAGTGGGGTCCAACGCGGATCCGAGAAATCCGCGCGGACCTTCGAGTTTTTATGTTTGTGTCTTTCTTCGTTCCCCTGGAATAGGACAAACCGCTCGCCTCTTGAAGTGGGAAGGCGGCTAAAGCAGATTTCGGCGGTGGACAAACCTCCCTTTA